TCATCAACCGTGCATAACATCATCAAAAGATTCAGAGAATCTGGAACAATCGCTGTGCGTAAGGGTCAAGGCCATAAAACTCTACTGGATGCTCGTGATCTCCGGGCCCTTAAACATCACTGCACCTCAAACAGGAATGCCACTGTCAAGGAAATAACAGAATGGGCTCAGGAATACTTCCAGAAAGCATTGTCAGTGAATCCACCGTGCCATCCGCCGTTGCCAGCTGAAACTCTACAGTGCAAAGAGGAAGCCATTTCTAAGCAAGCTCCACAAGCTCAGACGTTTGCACTGGGCCAGGGGTCATTTAAAATGGAGTGTGGCAAAATGGAAGACTGTTCTGTGGTCAGATGAGTCACGATTTGAAGTTCTTTATGGAACACTGGGACGCCATGTCATCCGGACCAGAGAGGACAAGGATAGCCCAAGTTGTTATCAACGCTCCGTTCAGAAGCCTGCATCACTGATGGTATGGAGTTGCATGAGCACTTGTGGCATGGGCAGCTTGCATGTCTGGAAAGGCACCATTAATGCAGAGAACTATGTTCAGGTTCTAGAACAACATATGCTCCCATCTAGACGTCATCTCTTTCAGGGAAGACCCTGCATTTTTCAACACGATAACGCCAGACCACATTCTGCAGCAATCACAACATCATGGCTACGTAGGAGAAGGATCCGGGTACTGAAATGGCCAGCCTGCAGTCCAGATCTTTCACCTATAGAGAACATTTGGCGCATCATAAAGAGGAAGGTGAGACAAAGAAGGCCCAAGACGATTGAACAGTTAGAGGCCTGTATTAGACATGAATGGGAGAGCATTCCTATTTCTAAACTGGAGAAACTGGTCTCCTCTGTCCCCAGACGTCTGTTGAGTGTTGTAAAAAGAAGGGGGATGCCACACAGTGGTAAAAATGGACTTGTCCCAACTTTTTTGGGATTTGTTGATGCCATGAAATTTGGAAACAACAGATTTTTCCCTTAAAATGATACATTCTCTCAGTTTAAACTTTTGATCTGTGATTTGTGTTCTATTCTGAATAAAATATTAGATGATGGCACCTCCACATCATTGCATTCAGTTTTTATTAACAATTTGTTTAGTGTCCCAACTTTTTTGGAATCTGGTTTGTATCTCACAAAGGTTGGGACAGGGCAAGTAAAGGCTGTAGAGTTAAGTGATTTAATTTTAAACAGCTGGACGAGCGTTTGTAATTAAATTAGATTCATTGGCAACAGGTCAGCAAGAGGACTGGGTATAAAAACCATCAATATCTCAGAAGTAAAGATGGGCAGAGGTTTAATGGTCTGCAAAAAATGTCTAAAAATAGCAGAACAATTTCAGAATATTGTTCAATGACAAATTGGGGAGCTTTTAAATACCCCATCATCTACAAGTCACATCATCATCATCAAAACATTTTTGAAAACAAGGGAACACCTTCACAAATCATTGTCTGTTAACACAGTTTCCAGTGCCATCAACAAATGCTGGTTAAAGCTCTATCATACAATGGAGACTCCATGTGTGAAAACTATACAGAGAAGAGCAAACACTCTTACAGTGGAAACCTGTTCTGTAGTCAGACAAATCAAACTGTCTTACAGCTCCACGTTCTCCATACAAAAGTGGACAGGGACTATAAATAGGAGCAGGTTTCGCTTCAGATGCTTCATATTTCATTGTACCCAGACCACACTCAAGCCAACCTGTGTCAGGTGCAGCCTACAACCCAAGAACAAAAGAGAATCTTTTTGTGTTTGACAGCAGATATAATAATAATAATAATAATGTCATCACAATGTCAGCACTGTATGTTTCCATACAATGGCGAAATTAGTCTCTGCATTTAACCCATCCACCACCAGGTGGTGCAGTGGGCAGCTATTGAAAGCGCCCGGGGGACATTTTGGGGATGAGACGTGCTGCCCAGAGACGCCACGTGATGTGCAGTGACTGGGGATCGAACCTGGGACTTTCGGGTCCCAAGCCGGCTGCCCTGCCTCTACACCATCTCGGCCCCATATATAGCGATGTTTCTTAGAAACCTTCAGTTTTTAGAAAGAGCTGACGTAATTTATATAAAGGAGATTTTATATGTATGTATATATATATATATAT